TATAAGWTAAAGAAGWCMTAAGAAATAGTNAATTNTAAAACTTAATAATAAATTATAATAGCTATCTATATATATATACTAGAAAATAATAATACTAAAGAAATATTAGAAATAAATAATAAATTATCTAAATAATATAAGAAATAAATATAATTATAAGTAAAAAAGTAAAAGCAATTAGAAAAAAAAATATAAGAAGTATTAAGTGATTATATAGATTAAGAAAAAAAGATTGCCCTAGCTATCTAAAAATAAAATATAATAAAAAAGAAAAGWACTATAAGAAATAAGAAAAATATTAATATCTAAGTATTTATAAATATATATAAAAACACTCATTATATAGTCTAAAGAAATAATTAGAGCTATAAGATATAAAGATAACAAGCATCTATAAATATAAAAAAACTTATAAAGATAGAAGAGTCTAATAAGAGCACTAACTACAAAGATTTCTTATTAATTAAGTTATTTTATTCTTAATTAGTGTTATAAGATAATAATAAATAAGTAATAAGTTAGCTAGTCTTAGATTAAGAATAATTAAAACCTCGCCTGTGTCGTAAACCGATGATTTGGAATTGTCTAGATCAGAGTAAACTCGTCACTTAACAGCAGTTAGGTGATATTCTGTTTAGGAAAGGGCAGTATACCTAAATAATAATAAAATAGCTTTAATTAACTAGATCTATAAGCAATAGTATACTTAAGATTAAATAGTTAATTCAAGATGATCAGTTAAAACTAAGTATATAGTAAATAAGTGTCTTTATATATCCTATTACTATTATAGCTATTATAAGTATTCTTATATTTTCTATGCGCTGATTATTATAGATATTATAGCTGTTATTTTAATTTCTATAATACTCTAACTCTAAGGGTTTCATTTTTATTTCACGTGACTTCTAGTCTATTTCTAGCTTTAAGCCATTCTTCTAGTATAAGCTATATTTAGCTTATACTAAATCTAGCTTATGCTAATCTTTTTATTAGGTTTAATTTATTCTTATATCTAAATATTTTAATACTTATATTTTTTCTAGAGCTTATTTAATATATATTATTCTTACTCTAAGCTAGACTTGCTTTAAGCTAGATCCTAACTAGATTTAGCTTATTATAACCCTGGTCACTTATCTATTAGCTATAATATTCTTAATCTTCTAACAATCCCCTTCTTTAAAAACTAGTATCTTAATAGTGTAATAAATAGTCTATATCCCCTATCTATATTATAAATTTATTCTATTTTTTAAAATGCTTATATTATAATAATAAGCTAACTATATCTTTAAAGAAAACGATTAATAAGAATTCGCTCTTATTGCGTGTTAAGTAATTTAGAGTACTTTATTATTTCCCTTATAAGCGCTGTAGAGATCTAGGAAAGTTATATATTAAAGTAGAATTTTCAAAGTATTATAATAAGTATATTTAAGTAAACAACTGTTACTGTATTGAAATATCTATATCTAATCTTGTCTAGAAATGATTAGTAGAGACTCAGGATAAAATTGAGATAGATAAGAAGAAGACTTATAAAGAAATTATAGCCTTAATAGCTAAGCTTAGCTATTTACAGAAATAAAAGAAGTTATTAAGAAAGTATATTAGTTAATTTATTCAGATAAATATAAAAGATATTAAAGAATTAGAAAAACTGGAAGAAAAGAAAAAATAAAAAATAATAAAAAAACACACGAAGCAAGAGGCAGAGTGTAAGAAATAAAAGTTAATTATAATGATACTTAATTCTAATAGCTCTAACAGCCTAGTTATAGATAATTTCTTCTAGCTTACTTCTTTTTTTATTTAAGGCTAATCGTTACTTAATACTCCTAGATCTTATTATAGTAATTTAAATTTGTGATAAGTTTCTATAAATTATTTTCTAATAAGTATTCTTTTTACTTTATTAAGTAGTAGATTTGACTATTTTCTTACTTTTAATCTAAGATCTTTTCTACTTTGTATTCTTTATTATTAGCTTTATTACTTCTGTTTTCTAGATTTTTTATAGATTCTAATAGTAATATATAAAATATTAGGTGTATTTATATTCTTATTAGTAGCTAGAGTTAGTAGTTATTATTTTTAAATTTTTTTATAATTCTAAATAATCTATACTTAATTATATTAAATTTATTGCTTAGTCTTTTCATTTTAATATTAAAGGTTTTTAATTCTAGTATTTATTATAAAARGTAAACTCTCTTTTCCTTTTATAAGGTTAGCGTGTTCTYACATTTTATATTATAGTATTATTTCATTTTTTATTCTGCCCATTATATATTTTTAAATATTATATTATATATCTATTATATATATATTATTTATAATAGTATTATTTCATTTTTTTTTTCTAATGATATAGAAGTCTATATTATTTATAGATATCTCTTTAAATTAGTAAAGWATAGTACTTCTTTAGTTAAGGTATTCTTTGTATTATTTATTATAAATTATATTAATAGTAGTATTTTTATTTAATTATCTTGATTCTAATCTAAATAATACTATAAATATTATTTAATTATTTATATTATTCTTTTAATTAATCTATTTATTTACTAGTAATTTGCTATTAATAAGCTATATTTAATTCTATATACTTTTATAATTATTTACTAGTATTTTAATCTAAATAGCTTATCTCAATCTAAAATAATTGTTTTTAGTAATCTAGTCTAGCTGAATACTTCTTATAGTATAAATATTATATATTATTTGGCTATTAATTCTTTTAGTGTTAGTTTTATAATAATATATTTTGTTAGTCTATTAATAATAATAATAATTTCTATATATTAATATCTAGTTATTAAATCTTTTAATTCTAGTAGTCCTTATATAAAATTGATTATAAGATTTTCCTATAGTTCCTTTAGAATTCTTGGTAGCTATATTTTTCTATATAGTTAATAGTTAATTGGTTTATTTCTGTTGTAACTATTATATTTATTAATATATTCTATAATTCTCTTTCTTATATTTAGGAAGTAATATTACCTTTATATTTTCTTTATAWTTCTATTAATTCTTTAATGTCCTTATAATGGTGGATTATGGTG